CCCCCCCCCCAACATTTAAAGAATGCAACTATCTTCTCTCTTTCCTTTCCCATGTAGCTTGAGAATTACATCCAAGACAGTATGAAGAAAGAAATGGTAGAGATCCAGCAAACTGCAGTGCAGAACCAGACTGCAGTAATGATTGAAATAGGCACAAACTTACTAAATCAAACAGCTGAACAGACCCGCAAATTAACAGATGTTGAAGCACAAGTAAGTAATGAATTTCAACCTAAAAATGCTTCTACTTCCCAAACACCTACAACTACACGTTTAACAGTTTAGTGTTACACTATTCAGTTCAGCAATTAGAAGTTAATCATAATCAACATCTCTAACCAGTTTAAGGAAATATTAGTAATTGGTAATAACAGAGCTCCATGCAAACCCACTGTTGTCACCTGAAAGATTTCCATTACACCAGGATTTGAAGTATGTCTAGCAAGACAGTTGTTACATTTATCTTTAAAGATAATATACTTAAAACTACTATACCATATCCAAGCATCAGTTGGGTACTAGTGTGCTTTTATACAACGCTTGCATACCTCTGTTGATTATTCACCTCTCACCACTAGATTGTAGCTCTTAGCCTTCAAACTGCATTTGTTCCGTTTACCAGGCTAATTGCTTTTTGACATTTAAATTTTATTTTCTATTTTTTAAAACTTCTTATCAAGAAAAATGTATCTTTTTAATGAATATTTTCACAGATGCTGTAAGTGGGGTGACAGTTCATTTCTAGCACAATGCACTATATTATTGTTATTTAACAGAGGGATAAATAAATGAATCAGAGATGAATCCAGAATAAAGGAATTGGGAGGAGGCTACTAGAAAAGCATATTCACACAGAAGTAAACTTGCCCAGTGTACATATTATTCTCTAAATTATTTCAAACAAAAAGAAAATTAATGGGTTTATCTTTAATTATGGCTTTAATTGAAAAACATGAACTACAATAAGACATTCTGTGAAATAGAATGCAGATTTTAATATGTTATAAGGACAAGTCCAAGCAATGTAAATGGTATGTATTCGTAGTTTTGCTAACATGGTAGGAAAATTCAGATATATAATTGCCAAAACAAATAATGAATATAGGATGCAGCACACAACATTTTATATAACGTAAACAGCGTGCAAAACCTAAAATACTTGTTAGACATTTTATTATCTGTAGAATTCATCCAGTGAATTAAATTACATTTTTTAACCTACAACAAGCCTTTGTGAACTCTTTGATAAACTGATAGTTCATAGCTCACAGGTGTACTGAATTCAACTTTCTGATTGTATTATTCAGGAGCCCAGTATTATGCACATGTTTAATGTATTTATTCATTCACAGTAATGTCTTTGTGGAAATTATTCATTTACTTTCTGCTTAGAGGAAGAAAATAATCACTGCAACTTTCCTTCTCTGCTTGAAATTACTGGTGACTGGGTTAAGGGCTTAATTAACCACATCAGGAAATTAACCAAACGGTTGCTCTCTCAAGGACACTTACTTTTGGCAATAGTTTTCTATTACACTTAAGTGTGAAATCATGTCCTGAATGACTGTTTTACATGAAGGACATGAGTAATCAATTCTTCCTGCCAAGGAAAGCCAAATTCTTCTGAATTATAAAAAGCTGTTCTAAAACAATGAGAAAATATTTCTAGAAAACATGCCTCAAAGTGTCGTCTGTGTTTCCCAATATCTGGGTTTCATCATCGAGAGATGCAAATAAATTTAGACAGTAGACAACACATATAGAAAAGGTAATGTAAAATGCAAGGAATGAACCCACAAAAGTGTTGTTTACATGATGAACACTTTAAAATATAATTGGGGATTAATGAAAATAACTAAGAGGGAACTATCTAGTGATTTCAGGACTGGGACAAGATTTCAACCAGTGAGAGATATGCAAAGTGCTTTCTTTCTACACCAGACTAAGAAACAAATTACTCTCTGAGCAACAACCATAATCATTCCAGTAATGAAATAAGAATATCATAACAGAGGGGAAGGTATGGGCAAACTAAGGGCAAAACTAAAGTATGCAGTATCTCTCAGCCATTGGTCGGAAATGTAGCATACTACTGAAATATTCCAATGATATATGGTAGCGTAACACCAAAATTAGTACAACTCCATGTATTCTTGATTCTAATTCTATGAGCATTTGTGCCCAAATTAAATATTGAAAAAGAATTTTTAATTATAGGCTTAAGTGGTGATTTGCATGTTTTCACAACATAAAGAAATGACATTTTTTAAAAAGTATCTTGATTTTCAAATATTTTTATAAATTTTACTTAGGTATTAAACCAGACAACCAGACTTGAACTTCAGCTTTTGGAACACTCTCTTTCAACAAACAAACTAGAAAGACAGATTTCAGATCAGACCAACGAGATAACTAAATTACAAGAAAAAAACAGGTAAGTTTTCCTATCAACCCAATAAAATGCTATTCCCTGAAGTGCCTGTCTAAAGGTTTTAGAAACAAATGCACTCAAGTAAAAAAATAAGGCCTTGTACAGAAGCTCCCCACGCCCAGCTATGCTTATTACAAAGGTCATATATTATTTAAGGCCTAGAGAATCATGCAGGCTTATTCTTCTTGTGTTCTGTTTATATATAATTTGATTTCTATGCTTTAAACTTATCCAGATGAAGTTATGGATTATGTAACCTGACTCAAAGTAATCCAGTGCAACCACATCTCAAAAAGTTTATTTTCATGTAGTACACAGCCATGCTGTGACAGTCAGGTCATTGCCACAGTTTTTTTCTAACCCAGTGAGAAAAGTCACATACTCCTCATATTCAATGTTCCTTACTAGTCGATATTTTGAAATTCAGACTCATATCCAACTATGACTCCTATCTGTTTCTGTAACAGCTGTTGTCCAAAGGCTCATACCTTTTTTCAGCTAGTTTCATTTTCATATCACCAGGGTCTTATTTTACTTTTGGCAATAAATAGTTTACAGAGAAATATAAAAGCAGCAGTAACATCCAGTTTTCTCCTTCAAAGCCATGTTTTTCAATGAGAACCATATGTGCAAAGTGCTTTTTATTCTGAAAGAATTAGTTTAAAAAACCCAAGAGACATGTTTTGACATTTTTGTTCACTACTCTACTACATTTATATATGCTCCCTAAAGGTTTTATCCACCAACTTAATAAAAACAGGCATCTTTATCAAATGGAAAGTAAATACTAAATTTTAAAATGTCACTTTTTTTTTTTTTTGGTTTCAAACTCAGCAGACTTTAGACAACCCTTGTAAAACCCATGTAAGCACAAAAGCATTGTTTCTCACCTAACAAAAGACAATCTGACATTGAGCTAATCTGCTTGAAACATAATTATAAGGTTCAAGTTTTTTTTCAATAACAACAGTGGATTTTAGGTGAACTTCTCCCTTCTGGCTGTGCATCTTTTAACACCAACTGTCTCAAAGTCTGCATTGGAACAATTACCAATTAAATAATGTTCCAGACAGTCACCTATTCATACCAGCTCCAGAACTGGAGATGAGTAGCGCATCTTGAAGTAATTATTTGCAATTTCCCTGTCTTAATGCTGTAATATTTATTTAAGTATATATTTTATAACAATTACATGAGATTTGAAAATTTCATAGGTTCATCTTTAAATGAGTTTCATCTTTTAATAGGGTAAAACCATGAAACCTTTCACCGCATCTTTCCTTTCATAATGTTTAATTATCAAACACCCAGTTGTTACACTTCAAAAGCCTGCTACGGAGGCTATAGTAGATGCTGTTTATTAATGCACTAATATAATGAAGTAAAGAACATGTATCAAACTCCACTTTCATTTAGCATTCTACTGCACGCATGGCATCAGAGAATGAAGTTGCGTACTTATGAAGAAAGAAACTTCTGCAACAGGCTTGATTCTCTTTAGATCCGTTCAAAATTTTTTTTCTGAGGAGACTAATAGTAATCTTTTATTTAGTTTTCTAGAAAAAAGAGTTCTTGAGATGGAGGACAAGCACACACTTCAGCTGAAGTCAATAAAAGATGAAAAAGATCAGCTTCAAGTCCTAGTAGCCAGACAGAATTCTATTATAGAAGAACTAGAAAAACAGTTGGTTACAGCTACCGTAAACAACTCTGTTCTGCAAAAACAGCAACATGATCTGATGGAGACTGTTCATAACTTGCTTACTATGATCTCTACACCAAACTGTAAGTAAAAGCAGACATTCTTAGATCATTTGAGTGGCATTTCCTAATTTGTGTACTTTATTACCTATAAAGTCTTACAACCAGTTTTGCCACACTTCTGCTTCTCAACAAGTATGTATTTTTTTTTCTCCTTAAATTTTGCATATGAGTTAGCTAACCTATTTTTTTGGGGGGGGAACAACCACAATATTTATGTGGTTTCTTGTCAACACTTTGTTCATCTTCTGTGGTTTATTTGCCTTCCCACTTCCCCAGCGGTTCAAAAAATACAGAGATACCAAGTATCATTAATCTCACATGGCATTCATTCATCTGTCAAGATACACTCCCTTGACCATATATCTAGCTTAAACTGCGTGATGGAGGCCTGTAGCTTTTCTTCATGGCTCACAAAGGTTACTTCTGCTACCTCTCATTGCTCTATGCACCTAGAGTTGATCAAAGAACGGACAAATTATAACGGCTATTAAAGGCAAAGGAATTGGCACTGGCCCAGTTTTTAGCACCTATGTATGCCGAGACAACAGAAAGCACCAGCTCAGGGCAGCAGGTACTCCCAGAAGTCCTCTAGTCTTTCACGGAAGCTTCCCTGTTGATCCTAAAAATCCCTCAGCCTAGCAAATTTTATAGGCAATAATCTCACCCCTAAATGTCTGTCAGCCCTGCAACAAATCATAGCCACAAAGCATAGCTTCCAAATTTATGCAGATTCACATGCTCCATAAAAAAATCCACACACATCATAAACTGAAAGTTATGACTAAACACGATTTGAACAAATTCGTTACCTTGAATTTCATGACCAATATGGGACTTTGTCAATTGAAGAAGGATACAAAAGAGTAAAGAATCTGGCATTTTTGCATGTGAAGTTCTCAGGAGTGGAAATACACACCTCTAAAAGGTTTTTTAGAGAACCTGTAAAGAAGAGGATTTCAATACTAGAAAATTTAAAACCAGTTGTCATTACAACTTAAAATACAGTCTAGATGGGACTATGCTACATTCCTGTAAATTGGATTACAAAAAAGGAAAATGGTGTTCAGAAATCCTCGTTTTCAGTAGTGTCCTAAATAATATGATGATGTAGGTTTTTCTAAACAAAGTAAATCCTAAGTTTTTTTTGTCTTAGTAACTGACACTATCCCCTTAAATACCATAACCAAGGCTGTACATGTTCCTGCTGATGTTATCTGCTATGCTAGTGCACAAATAAGTAAACAAGTCAAAGTCATGTTGGCTACAACACTGTTAAACCCAGAGTGGAAAAAATAATGAAAGTTTGCCAAAAAGACAAAATTAGCAGGGAAAGCTTCTAAGACAGTATACAAACAATAGAGTGTGGAAAAGCAATTAAAACTGAACGTGTTATTTTTATATTTAAGGCAAAACAGGTAAATAATGAATAAGCAAGCTAAAAAGAACATAATAAGCAACTGTAATATAACCATGTAATTATATGGCACTAAAACTTTGTACTAACTGGCTGCGCTTGTTAGATTAAATTAAAAGGGAAAATACACAGAACCAATCCAAAAGGGTCAAATATGAAATATCAGTCAGCAGGCAAAATGCCAGGAAATTCCAACCTCCATAGTTAATAAAGAACCAAAGAAAAAGATGAGCCTTAGATTGTTCTGTAAAATAAGAAGGCTTAGGCATATTAAAATGTGTATTTTACACAAATGAATTCCAGAAGGGATGTTTCCTTAGTGGGTTGGGCTGAGCTACCAAGCTTCAGCTTGGTACATCCAAAGTTGTCTCAGCACACGGGCAAAATACTAGCTAAATCTTTGTAAGCGTAGTTATTCCAGTCAGCTGTATTATAAAAGATTTCATAAGTCTTACTTTAGATTTCACAGTATTAGAGTACTGGCCAAAGGTCATTATATGATCAGTTGCTAGTTAGATATGTTTGTATAATAGTTAATGCATGCAGAGGTTGTGATGCACATAGAGTCCAGCAGAGGCAACGAATGGAAGCAGAAACTGTTCAACTGAATGAGATGCTATGTCCTAAGTTTTCTTATTCAGCACAGTAGTGTGAGCACTTTTCAACCTATCGAGCAACTATGCCCATAGCAGAATAACATCTCTAAATAATAGAAAGTAACAACACACATAACTAACACCTTGATCTGTCATTTCTTTCAGGACCAGGCATATTTTTTGGAGCTGCAGATCTTTAATCTGATTACACCATTAATTACTTTTTAATAACTTTTATTCATCTCCTCTTAATGCCCTCAATTTCTATTGTATTTTTAACAGCTAAGAACAACTTCATAGCTAAAGAGGAGCAAATTAGCTTCAAAGACTGTGCTGAAGCTTTCAAATCTGGACTGACAACAAGTGGAATCTACACTTTAACAGTTTCAAACACTGTACAAGAAAAGAAGGTAGGATGGCTGTAAAAGTGCTACCTAGGCATACTGTGTTTTAAAAAGCTATTTGATCTGGTGAACATGCTATTTTAAAGGCTGGTTGATAGTGATGTTTATTATTTACTGTGGGTTTTTTATGAGCATTTCATCACTTACAGATCTAAGTATCTCACAGGAAGAAGAAAGTCCTTTAGGTGAAATCTGGTCTCAGTTGAAACGAAGGAGCATTTTGTTATTCACTTCAGCATGCCAGAATTTCATTCTTTGTTTCCACATAACTAAAGCAATATAGTACTGTAATGTCTTTATAAAACCTCTGACTCCAACACAATTGCTCTGCATAATCAGCAGTCTCCTGTCCCTTCTAAGTTCTTCGTTTCTTCATATACTCAAGTCGCTTTCAGGTGGCAAAAGGAGGTAAAATCAGGGGCATGGAAGAGCAGTCATGGATGAGTATTCATGTATTCAATCTACTAGTACTGGACTCCTGTACAGGTTCCAGTTACTTGTTATGCAGAGTTTTAAGGGCATTTGTGTAACAATTAGATTAGCAATTAGATCAGCACAACTGACACCCGGTAACAGGACTTTCCAGGAAAATACTGCTCTGATTTAAATAAAAGGTGAGAGTTTGCAGCAGTTTCACTAGATCAGTTTAAATTCCTCAATGGCTATTTTTTTCCCCCCCTATGTGTTTAACTGAAATGAACTTCAGTGTCAATTTAAGTAAACACAATACACCATACCTCTATAGAAGAGACCTTAAGCTAAAAATGGCACTCAGTAGATGAAACAGTAAATGCCTGACAGAGATGCTCCATCTACTGAAATGAACAAAATTATAAAGCTTCAGATAGTATAATTCAGTTGAAACAATCAATAAAAGCTGAAAGGCAGAGAAGTCCCAGGTGGATTGTGAGGATAAAGAACCAAAAACTGCAGTAAGCATTCTGAGGAGTGTGGCTCAAACGATGAACATTTGTTTCCAATTTTCCAGACACAGCAGGCTGAGGAGGCAAAGGGACATCTGAATATCAAAAGATACTTAATATATTTCTTGGACAAACACTAAATAATTTTCTAATGCTTTTATTTTATAGTTTCATATTGAAGACATTTTCTTACAAAAAGGGAAGTATTTTATGCAATTCTTCAGGCTCTACTTTATTATATCAGAAATACTTGGGGGGAAAAAACTAACAGAAAATGTAAAAAAGCAGAGAAAAATGAGGGCTGATGTGGAAAATCAACTGGTAAAACTGACAGAAAGCATTTTTTTCCCCAAGTTTTGATAGTAAAGGTTTAGAAATTAAGTTCACCAGTGACTAGGGTCGTTGAAGTGCCATAACTTTCTATAGCCCTTGATCTTTACCCTTACAAAGCTCTCAACTAAAGGAACTAAGCAATTTGTTTGGGTAAGATCTATAAAATACAATACATAAAATGCACAATTTTTGCAGATATCATCTAGAGAAATTATGATATCTGCAATCTGCTTCTCTTGGAAAAAAAAAAAAGAGGCTGGTTTTCCTCTGAAATAGTCTTGTCTATATTCAATACATCTGTTTCATAAGAAAATTAGTTACATAAGATGCAATAAAGTGGTTTATTGCACATGAAACAGAATGGTATTTAAAGAGCATAGATATCTACAATCACAATTTTAAATGGTAGAGGAGATGCAAGCTACTACATCCCTAAAGTAATAGATTGCAGCAGTCTGTTACACTTCTCAGGAAGGGTTACATTCCTTGAATCTTTTACCTTTGGTTTTAATTTTACTATCGAATATAATATAGAGAGCATGCATATTTTCTAAAAGCAGACACAAGTGCATGCCATATTACAGAATGAAAACTTATGTCATAAACGTTAACACTGCATTTTCAAAGACATAAATGCTTAGGCAATTTATATGATCTGAGAAGCCAAAGTAACACGCATTTCTACAATATTAAAACCTACCAAAATATTCTATCCCTGAAATAAAAATACAAGTGTAAATTTCCTAGACTATAAAATATTAAATGCTTTACATTTTAACATGGAGGCTTAAAACACTTTAAAACACCCATTTTGGTAATTGACTAGGTTAAAAAAAATAGTTAAAATGTAATAATTAAATTAGTAATTAATGTAATAATATTAAATAATTTTAATCTTATTCTTCCCACTTCAGATAGAATGAAGAGACACTTAAGAAGAGAACAAAACTTTTCCTTACTGTATGACACAAAAAATAAGAGAGTAAAAAGTTTTAATCTGATGCAGGTTTTTTTATACAAATACAGATGCGTAAGAGGAGTTGTCAAGGGAAGGAAAGATTTAGGGATAATCAACACGTTACACCATTTTCACCTATTTACAATGTGGATGGCCACTCAGACCAGGAAACAGAATGACCTTTTTTATTTGCCAAAAGTGCTGCACTGCTGTTTATGTTTTTGTCTTTTCCTCTTGTAACACCTTCTGACCTCCCAACAGGCTTATAAACAACTTCTGTGTAATCTGTAACTGATCCCACTTTACTAATTTGTCTCCCATCATAATCCAAAACTAAAGAATTGCATACAAGACCTGAGAGGAAAACAATTATTTCATTCCATTAATATTTTCACGCTTTCAAGCTTTCCTGTTCTGCACAAGGACAAAAGCTAAATCCTTTTAAAAACACTGAGGAAAAATAGCAAAAGACTTCTGACACGGTAAAAAACGGCAGAGGGAAACCCATAAAATGTCAGTAGTTTCATGTTTACAGCAGTCACCTGAACCAATTAACCTCCTGGTCTTAACCAGGCAGAATAGTTGAGTTTGGATGATCCTAAAATATTAGCTCAGCTTCTACCACAACTATTACTAACGTATTATCCCAAATCTTAAAACAGTGGCTGAAGCAGTGGCTAAGATCTTCCCCATTTCCACCCCTGCTGAGCTGAATATTTGCCCCAGAACTGACACACGTTCCAAGCCAAGGCCTTTTCAACAAAAACTTTCTTGCACAAAGTGATTTGGGCAAGTTTGAATTTACTGACAAAATGGTTTTGCATAACTTTCCTAAAAAGTGATCATCCAGACAACTAGCTAGTAATTTCAAAAGGAGCCCATGCCATGGACCATATGTCGAAAATACACATACAAAAATTGTTTCCAACTCCAAGCATCAAAAAAGAGCATATGTGTAGCTTCTCTGATACGGTAAGGGTTCAGATGGTGGGTTTTTTGTGAATTTTAGAACTCTGATCATCTGTCTTTTCACTGGTAACTGGTATTAGGTTAAATTATATTATAAAACACAGGAGTAGTTATATTTTCCAGAGCAAGGAAACTAAGATCACAATTCTTATCTAGTCACAACTCTAGGAGCTAAGATAACAGAATACAAAGTCATTGAGCATCATGATTTAAAAGTGATGCAAAGGGACACTGAAGATGGGGCAACCACATTTGCTTTAGTATAAAAACTGTAGCGAATATTCATCCTGGTAAGGCCCTAGCCTCACCATTAGAAAGTAGGGTCTGAAAATGCTTATACCCCAAATATCCTGATGTACAAGAAAAAATACTTGCTCTGGAAGTCAACTTCCTAGACAGTGAAGATATCAAACTGACTGCTCACAGCTTATGTGCCTGTCACCTTTGGAAAGGGGACTACTTGTGGTTACATGTACATTACAGCATTTTCAAAAATACAGCAGTGATCTTTAGAATCATAGAACACAGGGTTGGAAGGGACCTCAAAGATCATCTAGTCCAACCTTTCTTCTTTCCAGACAAGATGGCCTAGCACCCTGTCCAGATGAATCTTAAACATGTCCAATGTTGGGGAATCCACCACTCCCCTGGGGAGATTATTCCAGTGGCAGATTGTGAATTTTTTTTCTCTTGTGTCCAATCAGAATCTCTCCAGGAGTAACTTTTACCTGTTACCCCTTATCTTTTCCATGTGACTCCTTGTAAAAAGTGAGTCTCGATCTTCTTTGTAGCCACCCTTTAAATACCGGCCCATAGTGATGAGGTCTCCCCAGAGCCTTCTCTTCTCAAGGCTGAGCAAACCCAATTCTCTCAGCCTTTCCTCATGTGGCAGGCTCCCCAGTCCTGTGACCATCTTTGTGGCCCTCCTCTGGAACCTCTCCAGCCTGTCCACATCTTTTTTGTATAGCAGGAGCCAAAACTGAACACAGTATTCCAGGTGTGGCCTGACAAGGGCTCAGTAGAGTGAGGCAATGACTGCTTTATCTCTGCTGGTGATGCCCTTGTGGATGCAACCCAGCATCCTGTTGGCTTTCTCTGTCGCTGATGCAGCAGCACAGTGTTCACTCATATTGAGCTGCTTGTGAACCAGAACCCCCAGGTGCCTTTCCACAGAGCTGCTCCCCAGCTGGGTAGATCCCAGTCTGTGCTGCACTCCTGGATTATGTTTTCTCAGGTATAAGGCCTTACACTTGACCTTGCTGAATTTCCTAAGGTTTTTGTTAGCCCACTCTTCTGGCCTATCCAGGGCTTCCATCAGGGTGACTCTCCCTTCCAAAGTGTCTACTTCCCCATTCAGTTTGGTATCATCAGCAGAATTCATCAGGGTACACTTGATGCCATCATCCTGATCACTTATGAAGATACTAAACAGCATTTGGCCCAATATCGATCCCTTGGGCACCAGTGACAGGTTGCCAGTTTGAAAAAGAGCTATTTACCACCACCTTTAGCTGAAGGTGAAAAATACAAACATCTGACCCTAGCTCTCATAGTGCTGCAGCTGCTAAAACTGTAAGTAGTAAAACAGTTCACTAGATAAAGCAAATATTCCCCCTGCCAATTTGTTGTAATTTGAGACGCTAATCTCTTTAGTCTTTTTGGCATCTGTTTGAAGACTCCTGCTGCCTGCCTAATCTTGGTATCTATTTTTACTAGTTTTATGAAATGTTACATTTCTTCCTTTTGAATATAAAACCTAGGCTAGGCTGAAAGGTCAGAAGAATTCTGTTCTAGTAATGAGTGTTAGAGAAAGTCTCATATGCTTATCATTTTACTGGGGAATTAAGATTTTTTTTAAAAAAAGAAATTATAGTCCAAATAAATGCTTCTTCTCCCCTCATCTTTCACATACATCACGAAGAAATTATTCCCTCTGCAGACTGACACAGCAAGTTACTGTGTTTATTTTAAACTAAGCAAATCCTTTCCTCAATCTTCATTTTACTGAATAGCCTATCTCTACCCTTAAAATTACTTGGGAATATATATAATTCACTTAAATATTTTTTAGTAAAAAGTAATATAGATCAACTTATTTCATTAATTTTCTTTCTGTAATCTCTCCTGCCATTTTTCTTCATTGTCCTCATTTTTTCCCAAGTGAAATGATCTTAAAAGTAAAGGAATGATTTCATGAGCAAAGCTGCATATGTGAGGGCTTGAAAGACAGGGTTCTGGATTGCCAGTCAAACAAATCATCAAAATCAAAACATCTCATTGCATGATGTTTACTTAATAGGTGGTAAAAAGAATTTTTACTTTTTAGCTAGTCCAAGGGAGCATGTGTGCAACTATGAAGTACAGCACTTAGAAACCAGACACTGAAATCTCAAACGGCAATAATCTTCTCATCTTTTAAAACAGTTACTATGACACTAGAAGATGATGTAACCAGTACATTACCTTTGCCTGCGTCACACGTTCCACCCAAGGAAGAAAAGGTTTTCCCTTTCCAAGACTATAAAACCGGCATCTTGTAGAAGCACTTACAAATGATTGACATGTAATTTTTTGGTGTGGAAAAATTATATTCCCAAATTTACATAAAATTTATAAAATCATTATTGATGTGAAAAATTTGCAATATTTTATTAAAGACATTCACAGTCATTCACTGTTTCAATATTTTAATTTCATTACAACTGAATGAAGTGCTATTTTAAGGCATTTATATCTTCAAAATGATAATTCCTGCTCAACTGAAATTTAGATTATAGGCATCGAGAAAAACGCATATAACATTCAAACCCACAAATTAACATCTACAACAGCAGTATCAGACTGGATCGGTGGCTCATGTAAATTAATACCTGGCCTTCCTTTGTAAGTAGTTAAAAACTGTATGTTTCGGAGAAGCATGAAATAGTTCTGTTCTCAGTCTGGCTGCTTATACTGTCCTTCCAGTTGGATGAAGCTTCAGAGTCAACAACCTTCTCTACAGCCTTCTCTATACAGATATTTGATCACTAGTTCTATCAGTATTTTAACATGTAGTGATATTTAATGAAAGTGCCAGCATCTGTTTTAGCCCATCCCTAGTACCCCTCTTCAGCGTGTCCTGTGGAAATTAATCTTCACAATATACATTACACATCACGTGACTTAGCTTTCTAAACCCAATCATCGCAGTTAAATTCCATTCACATGACATTCTTTAACAATAAACTCTAATCCAACTTTTTCCTTATTTCTTTTATCTTTCCTAAAAATCTCCAATTAATGTCTCATAATTCTCTGATGCTGAACAAAGAGTCTCAATACAATCTTAAAATACAGTATCTGCTTTGGATTTCCAATGTGTTACAAACTGTTGAAACACTAAAATGTTTAATATTTGCAGGTCTAAGGGCTTTCTTTCCCTTCAAAAGTCTGATGGCTTTGAACAGTATATATGCCTCTGCTTGCACTGTAAATACTCTGATTTATGTAAATATGTGTGTGTGTAACGTACAATACACATATGCAAAAATACATGCATACCCTAAAAGAGCCAACTATATTGAAAACGTGGTAAAGAGAACACTTTACATCCTAAGATGACACACAAAACACTGCCACAGGACAGAAGGAAACTGGCTTCTCTGAAGTCATACTTTTAAAATTTCTAGGATGCCTAACAGTTCAAAGAACTCCAATCTGCTGACTGCTAACATTGGTTAGACAGTCTGCTATAGAAAAAGCATGAAAAAGACAGCTTCAGGGTCATTCAGTCATGATTTGGGGCATTTATAGGCACATTGTGACAAGTAGTAGTAATAAGTTAGGTAAGAAGGAAGACCACAGAGTTTTTTTAAACAAAGAAGAAAGTATCCAAATTCATAATGAAATGCTCAGGTCTAGGTGATGGGTTTTTTAATAAATTTGTACAGATGAAATATCCTATCAAAGTGTAAGAAGCCAAATCCTGGCTCCACTACTGTAAATGGGAAGATACAATTTCACTTAATTGATGAAAGATCTAGAATACAGATTAGAAGTGTAGTTTAATACTCAAACTATAATTTAAAAACTTTTCAAAGATGTAAAGTAATTATGAAGAGGACTCAGAACTTCAGTGTCTTGGCAGAAAGTGTAAAAAAAATAATAAATCCCACATATGAGAGCCTAGAGCATTAACTTTGAACTCTCCAAACAGGAATACTTGTACAAGAAATTTATGATTTTTCTTGAAGTTAGTATCAGTACTAACATTCAATTTAAATAGATACTGATTTCAGTTTGGATTTCATTATATTATTTTACACTTAGCTCCACTGACTTCACACATCTACTTTTAAGTTCTAGTTTCAGTAAAGCAGAATTAGATGCAACAATTTAAAAATCCTTTCTCAAGGAAAATGGTCCTAAACATTAACAAGATTTTCTTATTTTATCCCCTATTTCTCCAAAATTCTCTATAAATTTTCAAAATACTTTTTTCCATCAGCATGTCTCCAGTTAGCATCTTCAGTAATACCTTTTATCTCTGACACTGCAGTGAACATACACCAGAATTCTGTTTAATACAGTCACTTTCTGGTTTAATTGAGAAGGAGATTGACTGAACAAATCACCTATAAACTTGAATTTTACTGGGCCAAGGATGCATTTATTGGGTATTCTAAAACTGAGTTCAGTCATCTGCTTATTACATGTCAATCCTTTGAAATGTTTAGCAAAAAGTTGGTAAAATCAAAGACTTGAAGATTTGGAAACACCTTATAATCGTTACATTTTTGTTCTAGAATATAAAATATTCATTGCAGTCTGTATAATAAAATGACTTCAAGATAATAATTGTTTTACACTTATATTTAACTCTGGGGTCAGAACATCTGCAAAAGCATTGAACAATGACAGTGGAAATACATATTTCAGCTTGCTCACTGTCTGAATTTAACCCTGAATTTAACTCTGACAAGCCATGGGAAATCTGAATGGATCTCTCACAAAAGAGAAGTGAAAACATCTTTTAAGAGCAATATTTCATCAGGAAACTCACAAAAGTATCAGTGCAAGAGGGATGTATAAAATCAGAAGCCTCAATAATTTTTTTCTTCTTTTAACACCAGCTATTAGCCATTTGTAAGGCATCATTTGTATGCTGTTAAGTGTGATATATACTGAGGAATCACATTTATTTGTGGACAACCACAACTGATTTTTATGAAAGCTATGAAAACCAGCATTTTTAGGTTAATACACCTTTTGCAATTTGTACACTTTAAGATTTGCCACTTTATAGAATGATGCAAAGTACATACTTTGTATTTTTGTTTTCCCATGACTGCATGCACTTATGCTGTTACATGCTTACTCCCTTAGGCCTACTGTGACATGGAAACTGGTGGAGGAGGTTGGACAGTTATTCAGAGACGTGAAGATGGCAGTGTGGACTTCCACCGGACATGGAAAGAGTACAAAATGGTAAACAATGTTTTATGAAGCCTTAATATGAGTTATTATTATCTATAATCTAATATAATAAATCAATAGCATCCTTAGAATGTAAGTTTTAAAAGTTGCCTTTGTCTTTAGATGTTCATTTAGAAAATGTCGTAGTAGTGTAATTTGTTTGCCTAAGCAGACTTGCAACTGTGATGTTTGTTTTTAAAGAGAAACCTCACTTTTCTTTAATCAACAGTTCCATGATATGTCCACAGTTTTTGAGTTATTTATATTTGTGTTTCTAGTGGCAACAGTAGAAACTGCTCCAAATATACTAAGTAATATTGATTGACCATTTCAGATTCCCTAGTTTGTTTTCTGAAATTATTTTTTTGAAATATTACAGATTTATGACCCTCATAAGGTAAAATTTTTAGTTGATAGACTGAGAACTATTAAACTTAAAAACTGATAAAATGATCATTTCAAATTCAAATCAAAACCAAAACAAAGCTGTTTAAATATACAACTTGAATTACAGGGATTTGGTGATCCTGCTGGTGAGTACTGGCTGGGAAATGAGTTTGTTTCTCAACTGACTAATCAGAAGCGTTATGTTCTTAAAATACACCTGAAAGACTGGGAAGGAAATGAGGCATATGCATTGTATGACCACTTCTCTCTAGCAAGTGAAGAACTAAAATACAGGTAAGCAGAAAAATCAGATCTGAGTAAAAAAAATCTGATAATAATCATTCTAGACTGTATAGATGCATGACCTTATTTCATAAAAATTAGGATGATTTTTCAGTTCACTCAGAAAATTGTTTTCTCCATTTTTCACCTATTGCCTAAAACAATCAGGCTTTTTCCAATGGGGATAATGTGTATTTTACTAGTGCACACTAGAAGCACAAAGAGATGACAAGATGGTATGGTATTAGATAGGATACAAATGGCAATATAGCAGATGGCAGTTCACAGTCTTTAGGGCAACAGGAACCTGTCTGTAGTCGCTATCAAATCCCGATTCCCTGCAATAAATACATTTCTGGAAGGTGGATGACTGAGATGAATAATACTGCAGGGAGATGTTCCACTTAAGTCTGTGGCTACTAGGAGCTGTTCTGTTCTTGTGAAGAGCACACTGACGTAATGCTACCTCCTCCTTCCTTGACCCACTGGCTTGGATTCTCAAAGAATAACTCCCCTACCTGTGAAAATGAAGTTAATTAATAGCAAATGTCCACTCACCCTCCAACAAACTTGTCAATTTAAACACCATATATTAATGGACCTATTACTTATGTTCCGATTGTTCTGTAAAATGTAAAGCTTCATAATTTATTCTTAGGTATTTGATTAATTAAAATAGGAAATAATATACATTTTAAATACTTTATATAAAAATAAATATTATCATAGTATTACACATTTTAAATAGTATCATAATATTACACATTTTGAAATAGTATCAGTCACGGCTGGAATATATGGGCAGTTCATACTTCACTCTCCAAGCTTTCTGTAAATGCAGTAGATATTGTTTGATTGGTTACAGAAGAAATTAGAGACTCTGCAGTGTAACAGATGCTTTCCTACTACATGGTCCATGAAATGTTTCCTTATAAGAATCTTATAGATTCATGGAGACTTAGGTGACTGGACAGAAAAACTGTCTAAATTTAGATGAATTTCTCCGAGATTTCTAGCAGCTATTTGTTGTAAACAGTCAGTCTGACACCAGAGAGAACTGATGCTGTTACTTCAACTCAAGTCTTATATGCAAAGCAATTCAAAACTATTGGCATCTCCCCCCCTCAAAATGTTAGATCTTAATGCCTTAGTAGTACACAGTTGTCTCAATTCCAAAGCAAATATTTTTTCATCTGGAAACAGTCTGAACCTACAGCAGAGATTTTTTCTAAAGTAATGTTTTAAAATACTTATAAAGCAACCTTTGCAAAATGGGTCATTACCCTTGTCCATTTACAATATTAAAAAATAATTACTGAAAACTAAGTTGGCTGTCTGTAAATAGATACTTTATTTTAATATGCAACCAAACATGGAAGGCATCATAAAATGCAGTGGTTTAAAGAATATATTTAACATCATGAAAAAGAAAAAACCCAAAGAGAATATTCAATTAAGAGTATCTTCTTTTACACTAAAAGCATTAATACATTCTGAATGCTGGAAAGATTATGAGTTGGGCCATAAAACTGATATTTTATAGATTCGTAGAAAAATTGAGATCAGAGTGGACTTTGAGTCAGACTTCCTGATCTCCAAGCTATGAGGTGAGACCAGATTGCTCAGGGTTTTATCCAATTGGGTCCTGATAGCCTCCAAAGGTGGAGACTGCCCAACCTATTCCACTGCTTGTCTGTCCTCATGGTGAAAAAGGCTTTCCTGATATCTAGTTAGAACCTCTCATTTCGATTTACATCTACCGCCTCTCATCTTCTGTTATACTAAGTTGTACTTTTAAAAAACAAATAATAAGTGACTAATACTCTGCTTACATTAAACTTCAAATTATATTGAGAACAGGCTTGTACATCACACTTGGAACTTTTAGTACCATTTATATTAGAAATGGGCTTACAGAATTTTGAGCTCACCTTAAGAAAAAACAGAATATTTAACTTTTTGAAAGAGATTTTTGAGAAAATCTGTAATGAGCTGATATTTTGAAACCTAAATGAAAAAAAATTCATTTTTAATATTTTCAAATTCAAATATTTTCAAATAGGGAATATAAAATTGGTTAAAATAATCTGTTAAGTCTCCAAAGACAACTTCTATCATAAGCAGAGAATTCCATGCAAGATGAAGACTGATCCAGGGACAAGTTAATTCTCAGAGTCAGATCTCCTCCTTAAACAAATAGAATACCTCTGAGAAGGATGAGCTATTTGCTACAGAAATGCAATCACCAAAGAGATACTGTGGGAGTGAAGGGTTTAAATCCTTTCAATTCAAGGTAACACAGTAATAGCTGTGTAATCACCTTCTCAGTTGGTGTCCTGTGTCTCTCCCTGCTGACACTGCATCTGCAGCCTCACTGAAGCTTATCTTGCCAGAGAATTGAAGCAAACTTAAATACCTGTGATGATTTAACAGTAACAAATCTATGAAGGATGTAAAAAGGAAGAGTAATTGGGAAAGGGAAAAGGGAAATATTAAGAAACTATTAAAATATGAGTTACTAGTTGGTAATTAGTAGTGCAGGTAATGCAATTAATTATCTCTCACAGATGCAAAGTCATAATGCTACATTACCATGCTGTGCTAACAGCAAAACAGGAATCAAAGTAGTCTTGGTTTGAACTTTTGAACTTGATCAAAAAAATAATGGCATACATTATATAAGTACTTACAGTATTAAGAAATGCATGATCTACATGAAAAATTCCAGGAGTTATGATCTACTTGCTCTCATTTCTTCTATCATTACACGAACAAAATAGTCATCTCTACAAATGTGGAGGCTGTTCATTAGAATATTGTGCTGGCCATTTCTGCTCATATGAAAACATTATGCTGCAAAATATCTTACAGTACATTGGCTAGAAGAGAACTCAACAATGTGAACAGGATATTTATTACAAACTATTCCATAATTATTTTGCAGATCAACTACCATTAACTTTCACATAATAATTGTTTTTCCACTCCTCACTTTTACAGGATCTACCTTAAAGGACTTACTGGGACAGCGGGCAAAATAAGTAGTATAAGCCAACCAGGAAATGATTTTAGCACAAAGGATGCAGACAATGACAAATGTATTTGCAAATGTTCACAAATGCTAACAGGAGGTAGGAACGTTTTTTTGTTTCTTGGTCTTCCTATTTTTATTGGCACTAAAATTGTCTACAAGATAAATAGTGATAATTTTGACTTAGTAACTTTTGACTACTGAAGAAGTCCAAGACTTACAGGTAGAAACACTAGTATGATGACTCCAAATGAAATAGTTTATAATTTGACAAAGGTTAAAGTTAAACAAGAGAAGTTAAAACCAGAGGGAAAGAAGTCTCTAAAGTTGGGGCACAAGGAAATCTGTAATTGTGGAACTAATCAGGGAGACAGCAGATTCTTCTTCAAGGAAAGAGATAACATTCAGAGATCAAAACACTTAACTCCCCTCAAAAAATCTGTTTCAGAGATTCAGTTAGTCAGTGAAATGGCTTCTGATTCTTTAGGCACAAACCCTTTCCCTAACTACCCAGGGGGGCAGAAACCCCCCAAAAGCTACTGTATACTGTACATGCCACAGAAGGGTACAAGTATTTAATTCATATTTTAATATATAATTATGAAGTGGCAAAGACACACCACATATGAGATAGCTATGTTTTTCTAATGATTATTCACTAGTGGAGTTTTAGGTGGTATTTTTACCTTGAACTACCCAAGTCATTCTATAATTTGTCAGTCTAGAATTGCACATTCTGAAATGTAGATAACTGCTTTGTGAGTTTGACTTCTCTTCCTGTTGTCTCTTAAGCAATGGGTCGTTTCCCTATAACTCAAGTTACAAGACAAAAGACAGCTTCAGTTTATCCAAACGGATAACTGGATTACTGCCCTGCAAAACAGAACACACACATTATCACCATCATAACAGAAGTATAAAAACATTATCTTATTAATAAAAATAAATGTTCCTTATGACCCACTAACAGGTCAGGACCATAAAGATACAAAATAAGTTTGGGCAGCTTTTTTCTCCTTTTCCTTCTTATCAAGTTTCAGCACAGAGGTTTTGAACTGATCTGCACAGAGAACTGAAACAGATAACTGAATTAATCCTCTAAAAAGAATTAAGAAAGCAGTTCAAATCTGGAAGAGCAGGAATTTACCAAAGGGCAGATAAAAACCAAAGACAACTCAAATATCATTATAGTTCATGTCAAGTTCTGCCCTCAGACTGTCAACAGTAACGTTTGATATTGATAATAAATTAAGTTTGATTGAACACCTTCCCCCCTCAATTTTAAACTACATTGTATTACATATGCTTCAAGAATATGTAGTTAATACATAAATATATTTGTTTTCTGAGATTGAGGCCAGTATTTTATACTGACACTTCCAAATTATAAGAATGCAAAACTGGGTTTAGATTCTTTCTAATTTCAGGACAACAAAAGTGCCCTTATATACTATTTTGAAAATTAACTCTGCTGATGTCTTTGTTTCTGTCTTGCAGGATGGTGGTTTGATGCATGTGGTCCTTCTAACCTCAATGGAATGTATTATCCATTACGACAGAACAACAACAAGTTCAACGGTATCAAGTGGTACTACTGGAAAGGCTCAGGATACTCTCTCAAAGCCACAACTATGATGATTCGACCAGCAGATTTCTAAATGCTTTTGCATTATGTGAATTATGTATTGTATAGTCTTCAAAGACTTCATTTGCTGAGCATATAAACACACATCTGCAACTTGTCTCATTTTCAAGCCCAGAAAACATGTGCTAGTGTTCTGAAGGGATCAGTTCAGTACAACTCCTGAATTACAGTAGCCTTGATCAGCTAAAGTTCGTATCGTTCAGCCACACACAAAGTCTAAAGCATCACCCTGATGTAACAGTGATTTGGCCAAATGACTGAATAAAAGAGCATCCAAGAAACTGTCAGACAACTTAAAGACTCTGTTTTACTGATCATTTATGTTATGTATGTGTTAGTAAATAACTGGAACTGTGAAAAATACCTAAAATAGTTTTAGAAATATGCATTTTGCCACTGAACTTTAAACATTACTCTAATATAAACCACTTAACTAGATCTAGAACTATTTATCTCTCTGTGTCATGTTTGCCTTTTATGTACATAAAGACTGTCCTGTAATTAGCTCAGTACTATAGTTCTTTCCCCCCATAGTCTCCTAAACAACTTCCTACACTTATTCAGGGATTTTTTCCTATAGTCTGTATTACTCTATTTAACAGAGGAAAAATAGCATTTAAGTACTTTGCATTTATTCTTGGGAAATATCGTGTACAAAAATCACCATTTCTTTCAGTTTGTACTTTTTACAGTCACTGTCTTTAAGTTACAAAAATCCCTGCAAATTACAATATAGTATGTATTTCTTTATATTTTTATGAAGATTGCACTTTTTTTTTTCCTTTCCTTGTCATCTACCTGTAAAATAACTGATCAATATTTTATAAAGCGAGACAACGGCATTAACACCAGATGTCCGGTTGTCTATGACAATCAGTTATCACCTGGTGCTGTAGTACACCTATACGTTTTGTAAAAATAACCTAACTGAAAAATTATATGCATGTTCTTTGATACAATTAAATTTATGCTCATGACTCAAGATACAAATTACTACATTTTAAAAATATGAGATAAAAAAAGCTGAAAGTTATCTAAGGTCATACTGCTGGGTTTTTTTCAGTAAGGTCGGGACTTCTCTGTAGGAATTCCCCATAGGCAGGCCCTCAGTGTTTGCCACAATGTGAATAATTTTTTTTTTTTCTTTTTAAAAATTTTATTACTATGTGCTTTAAAACTGTGTACTGTACACTGCAGTTCAGACTGAGAAGATATTTATTTGTAAATCACACAAAATAATTTTGTGATTTTTCCCCACATTAGGTTCTAATTCTCATGCTTTGTCTTTGCCCTAAAGTACTATTTTTGTAAACTTTTTATTTAATCAGATGACTGAATTGGTTACAAGTCAAAAACCCCAGACAACATTTCCAGAGGCTTACTTAACAAAAGGTATTGTATCTTAAAAACAGGAAATGATTTTGAGAAAGATGGAAGAAAACTCTTCATTTTATACTGACAGTCATTAAAGCTGCTGTCAGAGTACCCTACACTCACACCACCACCTTTATTCTTCACTGAAAACATGTCAGCATTACTAAATGGTAGCAGAGACAAAAAAATACTTCCTGATCCGATTTTAAATAAACCTAATGAATGTAAATTAACAGTCATCATCTGCGTAAAGTAAGTCAATGTATTTCAGATTACTGTTTAATATTTTATCGTTTCTTTTAGCAAACTTGTAAGGATATACATATCCCAAACTAAAAAAAAAACCCCAAACTTCACGAAATTGCTTTCATGAATTTCTAAGAGATGTCTTAAAAGCAAGTCTAGCAGATAGTCACAAAGCTAGTAAAAGAACTAGATGTACCAAGGACCACACGACATACCAAGAGAGGCTGAGAGCGCTGGCCTTTTTCAGCATGGAGAAGGGGAAGACACCTTACTGCTGTCTACAACTGCCTGCCTGAGGACACAGAGAAGACAGAGCCAGACCCTTCTTGGAGGTGCACTGCAGTGGGACAAGGGACAGGGAAAAGAGACAGCAAACACAAGTTGGAATTGGGGAAATCAGATTTTTGTTCATTTATTAATTTATTATTCATTCATACATTTATTACCGTGAGGGTGGACTGGACAAGTCCCTTGGAATAGAGTCTTGAACTAGACAACCTCCAGAGGTTCTCTGTAATCTAGAATATTTCATTATTCTGTGAAATCTAATAGAAAACCTGAGTCTAGATTACTGTATTTCCTGCTTCACTCATTTAACAAGACAACTAAAGAAAATATTCCTAATATTTGCGATAGTAAGCCTATCAAGCCCCATAATCTAAAACCAAGCAAACAAAAAGCATCTTAAAACACACGATGGAATCTAGCATAGGATGAATGCTCAACCTGGCAAAGAAAATAGTGCTGACTTCTGGTTGACATTAACCTTCATTATTTTAGTAAGAAAACACTATATGACAAGAATAATAAATATTGCATGGCTAGCGCTGATTTGCTGGAAAAAAAGTCTTTATAAATCTTAAGGCTTTTTGATGACTATTCTGGGAAAGTGATCGAAGATATTAATGTAGACACTGAATGGATCAATTTTTTAGGAAGACTAATTTTTTTGGAAAACAGAGTAGTTTATCAACACGCATGTAAAATTTTAGAGTGAATATGTTTTTAAATGACTTTATCTAAATGAGATTGCATGGCTTAAACTGCAAACATCAAAGTGAAGTGAGAGGAGGACATTTCAGAAGGAATGCAATAATAGGGAAAAGAAAGCTGCAAAACGTGCTTTGGACTTGGTACATACAATTAAAACATAACAGCAAGATAACCCCTCCTTTTAATTCCTTCCTGTAATCAAATAAACAGTATATAAAACTAGAATGCACTTTCTAAATACTTAGGAAGCAGAAAAGAAATAAGAAAAGAACAGCAATATAAACACCATTCATGCTCAAATAATAATCATTATTTTAAAAATATCTGTAATAGTAATAAACCAGAATAACTCAGGAAAGGAATGATTGCAAAGGTGATGGAAACATCACCTTGGACACTGACTTTGTTCCTCTGCTAGAGGAGCACACTGCAAACAGCAGCGATTCAGGGTCTCAGCACAACCATAACCTCCCTCAATTTTATCTTTTCACCATCTTTCAACCCTCCATATTTCTGCTTTAGGAATAAGAACTGTAAACAGAACCTCAAAAACAGCCCCAGCAGGAATCACTTCCAAAGAGTGCTATGGATGCCGTACTGATACCATACTTGGTTATTAAACAAGGTAGCCTGAGAAGAAACAGAAAACTCAAAAGAGCTTAATGTGAAGTATTCTTTTTTCATACAAATAGAGAAAAGGGGGGGAAAAACATTATTCTTACTTACGTTTCACATTAAACCATTCTTAAGGTATTTGCTGTATTAAAAAAAAAAAATCTGCTTTCTCCTTTTAGAAAAAATACTAATGGATGATTAATTTCTTTGGGCTTATTTCAGAATAACTGTTACCATTTCCCTACACTTTAAGAACATACAATTTATAATGATGAAATAGTCTTAATCTTGAACATGTAAATTTACATAAATTATAGATTTAGAAAGAATCTTAAAATGAGGTTCTTAACAGTTAATAAAACTATAGTAAAGTTCAAACCCCATTAAATGTTGCTTGAGAAATAAGTAGCAGATGATAATATATTCACCTAGCCACTATAATATAAGAGAAATTGTGAAACCTTTTTTGGCAAAACTATCAGTGTGATTGACTAGTAACCTGCTAGAATTCTTGTAAAACAAAAATAAAATTACTGTTTAATCAATTACAACAGATGGAGTGCAGATACACTTGGTTCTGTACAGACACACTATGACCCCACAGACACACTTTTGCAGTAGTTCACAATTCAGTATTTGAGAATGATAATTAAAAGCAGGAAAAATACTTCATTTTACCTACTTATTAGTTTTAGAAGTGCACAGTAATTTTCCATTGCCAAAGAAATTTCTGGACTGAAAATATTGAATCTATGACCTGAATACTTTTGTTATGCAATAATATGCCTCTCCAGTTTATAGACAAGCACAGATAAAATATACCATAAATAAATTAAAGGACTTTTATACTTCAATAAGAAGCTAGTTTATATCCAGCTGTTAAGTGGTGAAACAATTTTTTGTATTTTTTTATGCACACTTAAGTCTTTGCACACACTTCAAAAAGTAGTGAACAAAGGAGAAAAGAACCCCGTGCTTTAAAAAATTTTTTTTTTCTAGTAGGACTTCTTGTTCACAAAACCTATTTAGAGGGCCAATCATTTTCCAGATAAACAAAGTAAAGTTCACAAGCTTAAAGAGCCATTAAACTTACAGGAGCTGCAGGGAAGCTGGATGAAAGCTCATATGGTTCCTCTGAGATCCAATGGCCCAGTTCCAAAGACCACAGAACCTAAAATAAATTAAGCGGTAAGCAGAACTCATAATTTCTAAAATAGCAAATTCTTTGAATGTGTAATTACAAGTAACTGCAGTTGCAATGCTTAGTTTGATATTTCATTTACCCAAACCAAATGATTCACTGGAAAAGCAAGCGATCAGAAACATACAAATTTTAAAACCGAAAGAAGCCATTAAAATACCAAAGTCATATTTCTAGGCATAGCTACATTAAATTTTGAAACTTTGTGAGGATATTAGGTAAGTCAGCTTTTTGCATCATGATACATAAAATTAGAGCAGAGTAGAAAAGGGAAGTCATACTATATCAGTTCCATTTGTCTCGCTTCAGTTAATCACTGAACTTCATGAGGTTCCTGTTTGCCCATTTCTCCAGCCTGTCAAGGTCCCTCTGAATGGGAACATCCCTCTGGTGTATCAAACACTCCTCAGAGTTTTGTAACATCAATAAAATTGCTGAGGGTACACTCCTCCCCATCATCCAGATCATAAATGAAGATGTTAAACAATATCGGACTGACTGGGATTATGCAACTGTTGTATATAATCCACATTACCTATATAAATCAGCCCACAAAGAAAAGCTCAATTTCATTCTCTCCGGTATCCTCCTCTGTCAATGTCACATTCTAGAGAACTAAAAAGTGCAGAGTACTGACTGTCTGGAAAATAATGCTCATTTGTGCTCAACTGAGCTCTGAAACGCTGGATCAATATGATTTTTGGAGACTAGCAATCCTAACAGTACTTTCAGACCTCTGTTCCCATCAGGGCCATCACAAAATGGTTAACATTAAAAAACCTACTTGAAATGGTTGTATTTTCAATTTCTGAAATACATTTTTTTTTTTTAAAACTCTCCCATTTTTCCTGGGTTGATTTTCTAAACCATTCTTAAAAATAATTTATCATTATAAATTGCAGCTAGTAGACTATAATAATAAAAGCCTCACAAAGACTGTTCAGAGATTATCCCTTTCTTTATGGGAAAATGGAAAAAGACTCAAGTGCTTACCATGGCTCTGCCCTTGAATTGTAGAAAGGACATTTTCCTACTAAATTCTAGATAGTCTAAATTCTGAAGCCTATTCTGATGGAAGGGTTTATTTTTCTCATTGGCTTCATCGATGTGACCTGAGCCATAAAACTTCTCATATAGGCAAAAGACCAGTAATTTCTTTGCCATGTTTGTCCACTGTCACACAATTCACCAACTTTCCCCTTTTACAGATATTTGGCTTTGCAACATCCTTCCTGTAGTAGCAGCTGCCATTTGGCACGCTTAAATATTAGTTGAAAAAAAGCATTGTTACCCACTAGTGAGAGACAGCACAATTAATACTTGCAACCTTAAAAACCACAGCAACCCCCTCAATACACTACTGCTCCTACAGCTGCAGCTAGTGTTAAGGGAACAAGACATGTACCTATACCTCCTAAATGGGATATATGGAATTTATTAGAAAGTAAATCCCTGTGTTTAGGATAATTCCAACTCTGGCAGCAGTCACAGTTTTCCTAAACAGTTCTCTAGCCATTTCAAATAGATGAAGTCTGTTTCTTACTGTTAGCACAGCCATGCACCATTAAACTGTTGCCATTATTCACCTTAGAACAAGTTGAATTTCATCAGTGCATGAAATTGTTCCCATGTTTGATTCACAATTAACTGAAATATTCTGTATTTTTTTATTGTTTTGGAAGACGCCATACAAATCCATGTATTGTTAGTTTTAATTTAAATTATAAAACTTTACCTCATAAAATTTGGGAAGCAGTGCTATGAGATGTTCCCCTTAGACAAAAATTGGCATAATAGATACCAAGCATGATAAAGTTACATTACAGCTCACTAAACAAGATTCAAAGCTGAACACACTGATTATAAAGTAGTAATGTAAATCTTATTAAATGACCTAACTGTATACAGGAAAATAACTTTCTGTAAAGGGCTCTTTTGCCCCAAATCTGTTGCTACAAAAAATCAAATTGCAAATTAAATCTAGAAAGTAATTTTGATATCAAAACCAAGTTCTATAGTCTTTAGTCCAAAGTAGTTTATGCTTGACAACTTTCGGGGGAACCAGCAACCTCTAATATGAACTGCTACAAAAGCTGATGGTTTGTGTGATGTGGCAAGTGATATTTTTCTCGTGAGGGGAGGTGTCCAATTTTGCAGGCTATTGGATCTGAACAGTGATTTTTTGTTGATAATGAAAACCAGCACATCTTCAAACCTATTGTTGAACTTTATTACAAAAATCCAAAGAATATTATGTTTACTTTCAGAGAAGGCACAACCAAATATTTGAAAATGCAACAGCTGTACAGAAAGAGAAAATAATTTTATAGTCATTATATCATGCCAAACCTAAAAATAAGACTTAAGCACATTAATAAATCAATGACCTTTAAAAAATATTCAAAACCTTAAAAGTATTGCTGTATTTAGCCAAGAAAAGTATAGTAACTGCTTAAAAACATAAAGATTGCAATTTAGGAATTTAAGTTATAAATTTTAAGGTAGTACATGTGTATATTTTTTACAATTTACAATAAGAATATTGAGATCTGTTAGCTTTATCCTTATATCTGTATATATTTACTGCAAATAATAGAAACTTGTTAATCCAAGTCATTTATCTCTTAATCACAGTATAAATCAACTTTAACTGAACCAAGAAAATTGTAACTCCTAATAACAATTCCTGGAGACGTGCTGCATGAAAATAATTTCTTTGTAAATAATCTTGAGCAGGAACAGATGTACCATCCTGTATGTGTACATCATGTCCTTACAGGACCAAAATGATGTTTGTACCACAAGTAACTGGCAAACAACCCAAACAGATTAAAACACAAACCCAAAAGATTAATTATGATTAAGTAATCCCATTTCATTTTCCAGGCCAATTTTACAGTAACAACTTCTATTAATCCTTGCAGTATTTACAGAATTTTGTTTAGAAATAAATTTTGTTTATCTTAACAAAAGATGGATTAATGCCTGTCTATCATGGTTCTGGAATTGAGTACAAAGACATCATATCTACATTCCTAGATAAAAAGAAAATTAGATACAGAGTTCATGAACAGGTCCTGCAGTAAATAATTAGGTCACCACTCACTAAAACATTCAGTTTTCATGAACACAAAGGCAAGAGCTCTCCATTCTAAGTCACTGAAAGTTTGCTTCTGACTGGCAGAGACAAATTTCAACCAGTATCATAAGCAACCCTGAAAAAATGCTTGAAATTAATGTAGGACAAAATCAAGTTATGATTTGCAATATTATTCTTGAGTAAACTAATTTTTCTTGTTAAGTTAGTAATATCTTCATATTCAACAATTTCTCAGAATGTGGAAAAGGACTAAGAAAAGCTGAAATACATAACTGTTTATATAGAGAACAAAGAGTATCTAGAACTTTTCAAATGTGCAGTTACAGAAGATTGAGCTTGAAATATAATGATAAAGTAGTACAGTATAGATCAAGCATGAATGCTGGATATAGGAGTATCAGAAATTAGGAAAATACAGCTGATAACACCGAGATACTAAGAATATATCATATTCTAGTAGAATGCCATCTGATTCTAGCAGAATGCCATTGACTCAAGAAAGTAAGAAACAGGGATGGAAGAGGAGAGTGGAAAAAGCATAGTTTTTATGTGGACTTCTTAATAACCTTAAAGAATGTTTTCCTTGGCCTTAGACTCTAGAATTAAGTTGATCAACCTTCTGTTACTTTGTCCTCAAGTATGGACCATTTTATCTAATTCAGTACCAGGCAACCTGTATGGCACTGAGCTCCAACAAGCATCCTCTAGGTTATGCAGCTATAAGGTAAGCCCCTTGGTGCACAGTTTTCCTTTGCATATTCATATCAGCTATGTTCACACTATACAGGAAAATTTACGTCAAACATTAAGTTCTCAAGGGTCTGAAAACACACTGTTTGACTAGTCAGTATTTAAGGCCCCTTACCTGCCAGCACACTGAATGATAATAGGGTATTTGTACTTGAATAACTCATCTTGAAATAGGTAAATGGAGTGCTATGAAGACTAAATGTCTAATGGTAAAGCTGATATTTCTCTAACGTTCATCTTTAAAAGATCATTTTAAGTTTTTCTCAGAAGAAGAAATTATCTCTCCATGTTACAAGTCAAGAGGCAGAGGTAAATAATATTTCAGCTCCTAGAACATTGAGAAACATTTTCCAAAAGACAACCATCACAGTATAAAATACCTTGTTTAAAAGGTACTATTGATTTCTCCTGACCTATTTTAATTGAAGCATTTTATCAATGAAAGTACTTATACTTGGACTGACTACAGTATAGAAAAGCATTTAAAGGATTCAGTATTGTAGCATTAATAAGAGGAAAAGGTTATTTTGGTTAAATGAAATTCTCCTGACTAATTTTCTACAGAATTCCTCATGATTGTTAAGTAAAGCTTCAGCTTTCTTTTCTCCAGTTAAAGTATTCAGTTAATGAATTTGGGTAAAAAGATGGCATAATTATGCCAGTGACACAATTACAAGTAAGACAATAATGCTCTAACATGAAAAAATGCATAGATTTAATCAGATTAAGAAATATTTTTTTTAAAAAAGTTCAAGGCAGTATTTTCTTTCAGTAAAATAAATGACTTAATTACTTGTGGGATTAAACATTTATGGACAAAGTTGTACCCAGCCTCAGTGAAAGATTTAAGCACAGTTCTAAAAAAATTTTAAATAGCAATATTCACAGATAAGCAGATACTCTAAGATTGAACAAACGTGATTTGGAGAACTGAATTCTGAAGTTTTTCTCTAATTCCTTCTCATGCAGCTCTCACAGTAACTTTAAAACTTTTGTCTAAATAGCAGTTCAGTAAAATGAGTGAAGACAGCTTCAGCACTTCATCCAATAATATTTACAGGAACAAAATAATCCTTGGAACAATTCCATTTAACATATTGGTATTATATGAGGGATATAGATGATCCTGTGATGAGTCTAAATGGTAGACCGTAAAACAGCAGAAGAAAATTTGGCATTGCTACTACTCACTACTGATCTATGAAGAGGATGTGTTGATGTTTTCAGCATGTGTTGGTTCACAGAAGTGCAGTGCATAAAATATGTAATGAAAGATTCCAGGGCAGCAATTGCCAGAATACTGATTATCCAAATACTGTTGTATACTACGTACAAAGATAGGAAAGTATTTTACTGCATTTTTGTAGACTTATCTACACCTTTAGTAGTTATTTGCAGCTTTTTCTCAAGGAAATACAGCTTTCATGTTGGACCACCCTGTTATCAGAAAGTAACATAGCAAATATGTTGTTACTTGTTTAAAACTCCATACTAAGCTAATGGGACAGACGTTTCAATGTATATTATTCATAGATGCACAGAATCATGTAATAGCTGAGGCTGGAATGGACCTGTGGAGATTGTCTTGTTCAAACCCTTTGCTCAGATGTGTTCCTCTTCATACATCCAAGGATGCTACCGTCCTTTTTTTCCACAAAGGCACATTATTGGATTGTTAAGGTGACCAGAGATGCAAACCCCTTTATTCCAATCACCAAGAACTTCTGAAAACCTCAAAGTATGTCATAACAGCTTCTTCAGATAGCTACATGTATATCATGTAGGACAAGTTTCACATTGGTAAGTCCTAGACATCTTGAAAACAAAAAGGCACAGGAGTTTATTTTCTTTTCAGCCCAACAGCTAGATTTTAAAGTATCTATAAGAAAAAGGAAGCTAAGGAATTTAAAGTTATTCTGCAAACATTTTCTGTATAAGATGAAGAGCTATTTCCATATAAATTCCAACAGCTATGTTTTATAGCTCTGGAAACATAAGGAAAGTTAAGAACCCGTCATCTGCAATGTCAGATTGAATGGTTAGTCTTCATTCTAACAGTGAGCAACTGAGGTGGTTTAACTCTGGGCTGACAGGTAAGGTCCCCACCTAGCCACTGTTCAGTCCCCACCTCAGCGCGATGGGGAAGAGAATTGGATGGGCAAAAGCAAGAAAACAACCACCTTGTGGGTTAAGATGACGACAATAAGTGAAGGGGGAAAAAGTTTAAAAAACTTTTGTAGAAATAATCATTACCACCAGCAGACCAATGCTCAGCCAGTCTACAAGAAATGGCTGCTTTGGGAAAAATCTCTTACCCAGTTTTATATCTGAGAGTGATGTCATATGGTGTGAAAAAATTTCTTTGATCAGCTGGGGTCAGCTGTCTCAGCTCCTTGTGTATCCCCAGCCTACTCACTGGCAGGGCAGTGTGAGAAAGATTACACATTGACGCTGTGTAAGCACTGCTCTGCAACAACGGAAACGCTGGTGTGTTACCAACACTGTTTTGGTCACCAGTCTAAAACACAGCACCATACAGCCTGCAATGAAGAAAATTAACTCCATACCACACAGACCCAGCACAGCAAGTCATGATTATCTTGTCTTTATGGTAACAGTCTGGTAACTGTACATGATAGTCTACAAGAAATTTTGAGGACATATAGTGGTTATTTGATCTGTATGCTTCGCAACTTTCTGTAAATTACAAAGTCTCCAAACTACTTAACTACAAATAGCTCTCCTTAATTTGTTTCCTATTTTACAGTTTTTCCACTATGCAGCAAAACATCTAATAATTCCCCTTCGTATTTACCAATGCTGAACACATGTTTCAGAAAACAACAGAAATTTATTAAATCAGGACATAAAAAATTCAGACTGAATAACGTGACTTAGCTAATTTTGAGCAGAAATGGTTTGTTTATCCTTTAATCTGTCTAAAAATAATGCATGTGACATGAGTTTCTCATCTATGAGATAAGACTTCAAGCATTTCTAAAATACAAACTGTGGTACAATACAGGAATACCTAGGTTAGATAAGCAGACTGTAAGTCATGATAACAGAGCTTTACAGAGACAAATTTCCTCTAATTGAACTAACTCTAGGTAAGCCTGAATATCTGAACATTGCATCATAGTAAATAGCATGGACACAAACACGGTTATATGGTTGATATTTCAGCTATACAAAATAAGTTTAATTTATTTTTTAGCAAAATTAAAAAATAGTTCTTACCCACTCATAAGAAACAATTCAACACCCACGAGCAATTCCCAGCACAACATTCAAGGTACGACGAGTACCTGTAACTACATGACTTGTTGTTTCGCATATATCATCTGAGAAAAAGTCTCCAAGTTTATTCACCACCTGAATTACTGTATTTTGCTTCCTAAAAAGGAAAAAAAAACCTACAATGTTGAATGGATATGCAGAATTATAAAAGCATATACACACAACACAAACTCACCTTATTTCTTTCCTCATTAATAATTTATTACCCTTTTCTCACTGAGCCTCTACCCATTTGCTAGCAGTAAATTCATTAGCCTTCTCACTGAGTCTGAACACAGCTTTTTCTGTCATCACACAACCATATCTACTTGCACATCAAAGCTCTTTTCTCCCCCACATCTATCTTGTCTGTTTAAATAGAAGCTTTTGAGTCAGGAATTAGCTAACATGTTGTTTGTGTACAATGCCTAGTACAACAGAGCCTCATTCTTGGTTGCTTTTGTAGTACTATCAAAAACGTATTACCAGAAAATGTAAACATTTAGACACAGAACTCTTGAAAGATTTTTACTAGGAAACATCAGATTTTCAGCATCTGAATAAAATGCTGTGTCTAAATTTAGATAAAATCCTAAAGTTCTGGCTTGCTCTCTATACATCTGAGCCAGTGTTTCAGGTAAAAATTCACTTATCCTTAAATACAATTATAATTAAATATATGAAATTTAATATAAAATCCAGAATGGCCTCCTATAACTAGAAATCTAATTTGAGTTCTCTACATAGCTACGCTGAAGCACATAAATATAGCATCATAAAAACAGTGAGATCTTGATATCAGTAGAGAAAAGCTGCTGCATGAGAACAATTTGCTGTTCTTATTAACAATTGTTTTTAGAAATCATTATCATAAATGATCATTAATGATCTTTAAATTAAAGCCCAGTTCCAGTATCCTCCCTGCTCCCCCTGGCTGACTTTAAAATGTCCATGGCATGCTACACAAGATAAAACAAAGACAACCTTGAACACAGTCACATCTATCACAGGGGTGATCCTCTCAGTTAAAACATTTAAGTTAATCACTGACATAATGACACTCAGAACATCTCCAGAAGCCTCTGGGGTTACTTCATTCTCACTACATTTCACTCCCAAGAATATAACTCAGTTAAAGCTTCCAAAATACCCCAGCTAAAACAAACATTACTTGGAGGAACTCTAACAAAACTGCAAAAACTTTTTCACAGAGAACGCAGCAATCTATTTTTAAAGAAGTTTCAAATACATGAATAGTTAAAACAGTGTAGCAAATTAACTTCACAATTAAAAGGTGATATTGTATGCAGAGGCATTTAAAAAAAAATAAAATCAAACCACTGACCCTCACTCCAATGTGAATTCTGGCCTTGGCTACAAGGCTTTTAATGTTACTAGAATATTTACTATTCCCTTTTGATTTTATGAGTTTTACCATGACATAGGCTACAAGTGAATGCTTTTGCAACATTGCAACCCATAGGGCATGGCCCTGCCTAGCCTGTATGCTCAGGGGATGCACTTCCATGCTCTACCTGAACCTTGTCTTAGTTCTTTCTGCACAAAATTCCTTACAATGAGAGGAAAAAGTCCTGTTGTACAAGAATCGACTTTAAGATATCTTGTAAATTACAGTGAAAACTCACCAGTTTATACTTCAGTCAGATGGAAAACCCAACAGATGCAAGTTTACAACAAAATTTCACTGATTCACAAAACCAGGTAGATGCTGGCTGTTAATCAGTAAGTAGCATTCAAAACCCAATGCCATGAAACAACTGAACTCATGATCTTTAGAATTTAAATTCTAATGAACCACTTCTAAGGCTGTAGCTACTGTGTAGTAAAATTGGCTTTTGGCCATTGGGTTGTACTTTGTAGGACTATTTTCTGTTCTTTAGTTCTTTCAGATGCAGAACCTTTACCTTCACCCATTTACAGATTGTTAAAGGCATATAAATGTAGACAGCCAAAAGCACGATCTTGATGTAGAAGTTCTGAAGAGCAATTATTATGGCCAGACATTTTTAATTAAATATTAATTGGCTAGTGGGAAAAATTAACATACAAGCAACATAAAAGAAATAATGTATTAATAACCTCTTTCAACAAGAGAACTTTTTCCCCAGCTCTACCAGGTTTGGATGTCTTTTAGGCAGATCATAGCCTCTGTTTTCCACTACTTCTATCTGCACTGTAGCTATTATCTTTACCTCCCCCACAGTGATCCTGTATTTCATGACTTGCAAAGTGCATTTTATAGTGTTACTAACATCCAGTCACATTAAAGACAAGAAAAGTATTAATTCCTTTTTATGTTTCAGACATATATTAGTATACTTGTTAATAGCTATTGACAACCATTCACAAAGAACTTCTAGAAGGATAGACACTAAGTGCTGTTTCTGAGTACTTTTATCTATGTAACTGTCAAGATTTAATTACTTCAAACCTTAAACAGATTTGTGGGTAGTAGAAATATCCTGAGTTTTCAAAAAGAATTAAAAAAAACCTGTAAGCAAATGTAGTATAAAATATGAAACTGTGTTTTTGTTGGATGTTCTTTATGCTGTAAGACTTTTAAGAGAATGATAAGAGCATGCCAGAAAATGATTAACTCTTCCCCAAAACACACAGTGGCAGCTGCTTCTAATGTTTTGAAACTAAGTGGCTAAAAAGCCTACAACTGATATTTCTTCAGCAACTATTTATGACAAAAAACATTTTGAACTGATGTGTCAGATTATGACTTTAAAAATAGAAATAATGCAAATGTATGGGGAAAAAAGCTAAGTCTTGGGCTGAAAGTCTGAACCGTTTACTACATAAAATTCCTTTTTACACTTTCTTCAGAAAAATTCAAAACTTGCTTAAGATTTGTTTCATTGATCTGAAGACCTGTTGAGCTCACCTATGGCACTACTTCAGTTTGCACCATAGCAACACAAACATACACACACACACTACAGATAGCAATGACACATACACGTATGTACGTGTTTCTAGCTATAGTAAAGAATGAAGTGTTTTACCATACAGCTGAAAGACAAATTTAATTTTGTATAGGCATAAGAAGATTATCAGCATTCAACAGTGTGCTAACTAAATAGTCAAAAATTTAATAGACATACTTGTCATAACCAGTGTCCTTGTTGACTAGAGATGTGAAAGAGACAACAAAATATCAAAAATCTGAAGAGTTTTCCCCTTTGAAAAAAACCCTTAAATTAGAAACTGTTCTATTATAAGGACTTAACTACTTCATAATTACAGTACTGCCTGGGGAAGAGGCTGTACTAATTAACACATATACTAGAAATATTAAACTTTGAGTACAAGGAAGAAAGGAAACCCCTTCATCACATCTGGTATCAAAGCATACAATATAGCAGAAAACAGGAACATAAATTTTCATTAGTAAAAACAAAAAGTAAATGACTTCCAGTCTGGGATGCCACAGAAAAAAGGATAGTATTTGTGTTCTGCCTTTTCCTTTTGATCAGGTGGAAAGGAAAAGGCAGCTTACCTTCAACAAAGAAAACCTGTAATTTAAAATTATTCCAGTTTCTTCCAAAAGAAAGGCATAAACTGGCTGAGTGATGCATAAACAAGAGTATATTTATTGTAAAGTATAAGTTTAATAATTTTATTTTGATAGTGTAGCCTTTTGTTTGTTTTTGTCTTTTTTGGGGGCATAACTTCAGTACTTTAAGTCCAGGTTTTTAAGTAAACATTCTTTTCTTGTAAATAAAAGTTGTTCGAGTAATATAATACACAAGGTATGCTCAAAGAGTGCAGCAATCCTTAAACCAGCAATTCTAAGATACCATAAAAAGCACCCCTACCTTCCCCTGCAAAATCCCCCTATAGCTTATGTGCAAAGTAGGAGTGTTTGCCCCATGAAGACTTTAAATAACCCTTTTAAGAATTAGTATTATAGAAGTCAGAAGAGGAAGAAGTATCCTTTGATCATCAGCAATGACCATGAAAGCTTCCAGCATACACAAAAGATAGCACAGGACATGAATTTTAGCAGTATCAGAGAAATACAGAAGTGAACATAATGGTCATCAAAAATACATGTGACGAGGTTTTGAAAATCTTAGCTAGAATTACTTGTAGCTACATAGACATGCACAAGTACATACACATAAGCATTTTAGTTTTGTAGAAAAAGTAGATCACCTGACTTTTATACAATTATTTTAAACAATTATTCCTAATTTTCAAAATCAATATATGAATTTAAAATTATTTCTCTAGATAACTAGTGCTCCATAAGAAATAATCATTCCCATTTCTTGCCTCTGCCACTCCCCCACCCCCACCCCTTCCGATATTACCACAACCACAAGCGGTAAGCTCCCAAAGTCTCTGCTAAAATTAATTTTCCTTTTAGTAATGTACTGAGCTGAGACCACAAAAATATTTTGAATTGGATTACAGCTGGTAGCACAGGCCAAAAAAGACTTGAGGACAACTCATTTTACCCAGTAATGAATCACAGAACAGAAGAGATATACTCTGATGTAACTCCATCCGTCCTATTTTATCAGTACAGAGCTGTTCTCCATTAAGTGTTCAAGCAATTTGTCACATTTAAGAATGGAGTTTCTTGGAATTATCTCTGTAGACTACAGACTAGACTAATAGTGTGCACCATGACTGTTCATTAATATAAACAATCTTTGTCTAAAACACAATTTCGACACCACTGACAAGCCAGATATTAAAGATAACATAAGCAGTAGTCTTTTTAACATAGACATGGTAATTTCATTTTGTGGTTGGGTAAATTTGAAACACATAATACTCAGATACTATTTAAGTCTTCAGAAGCAACATGTAGCGTATACAATAAATTTTTAAATTCATGACAAACATGCACTCAGACAACGTTACCTAACCTATACAATATTTCAGAACTGATATTTTATACAGTGATAAAATGCAAAACCAATCCGTAATAGAATGGAAAAACACTTCAAATGAGGAAAGGATGACACATTTATATTGAAATATTTATTTGAGAGAAATTCTATGCAGGACTTTTGGAAATGTAAATTTCCAAATTTTAACTGGTTGCCTGCAATTCTTACTGACGATGCCTTAGCCTACTGCTAGCCTGGCAACTGAGGAGAATATGCACTTACCTGTAATCAAAATTTGTTGTATTCTTAGCCAAAAGACTTTGTACTGCATTACTTTCAACTCCAAAAAAACAGTCACATTTAATTGCTCTTGGAAGTTCCAAGAACTTCACAGTTACAGTTCTATATTTGACACTTAAATCACAAAGAGTTTGAGCAAAAATAACAACAATGCAATTATATATACATATATTAAAAAAAATATATATAATAACATTAATATAATCAGTATTAAATAATAGAACCTCAAAATTGTGAGTATATACACTCAAAAAGACATCTAGTAAGACATTGAGTAAGGGTTCTCATGGCAGGAGGCAATATTAGGCACTCTACTGAGCAGAGGAGTACAGGTAGGGTCAGGTGATTGAAATCTGACATGGGACCACACTATACAATTGTGAAGACATAGCTCATGTTGTCTTAATACATGTTGTTGGATTTGCATAAACTCCTGAACATTAAAGGATCCTGGGATGTTACAGCCTAGGAAGGCATCAGACATGGCTTAAAAGCAAGCTTTTACTTTTCTCTATCCAGTCTTTCTGGGCTGAAAACTCATCTATGTCAAATATGTATGCTTTTGCATGGTCATGATGTTCTCCTTCAGTATCTCAAGCCAAACCTCACTGCCATCAGAATGAATCTCTTTGGGTAAAAGTCTGGAGTTAAATCCACACAAAAGAATTACACTAGGTTCTTGAGGCCCTTGTATACTACTAGCTCCAAAGTCAGATCCTGATGTGCCTGTTCAGAACGTGCAGAATAATACCCATCCTTACAATTTTTTATAAACGAAATTTCATCAAAGTACTACTAATCAGGCCATCACTTTTGCCAAAGTTGGGTTAAAAAACCCCATTACTATAAACCAAGGCCAGAGCAGCTCGAGATCCTGCAGCTGGCTTGTTTAGCTTCAGAGCAAAAATGTTTGTTAACAGTTCCTTAACACCTTGAGTGAAAATACTGGATCCACACAAATTAGGAAACCTGCAGCGTGCCCTGACATTACCCTGCAGTAAGCTTTTGAATTTTATCTTCTGTGCTACAAAACGTAGCATACAAGATGGAACACTGAGTATTCTGGGCAAATGTCAGTGTACCTCAAAGTGATTCAAAGACTCAAGAACGCAGAGATGCATACAAAAGGTAGAAATTCAAATAAATTTAATTTCTTAAACTATTATTTAATCTTAATTCAGAACTGTATATTTTTGCAAGTTAGAGTTCATTTCCTAAACAGACAACATTTTGTTTTATTGCTTCAGTAAGACAAGCAGTCCTCTTTAATTACAGTTACCAAGGAGAAAACTTAGCCAAACTATGTTTTAATTTTCAGTTGTACATATTTCAAGTTAATTGCTTCCTTCACTTGCTATGCAGTTTTTCTTCTATGCTCTTTGTGTCTGTTTTATTTTACATGTTGCTTTTATTGAAAAAATTCTTGAGTTAGCTTTTTTTTTTTTTTTCCCTGAGCAGCAAAAAGACATCTGGTGAGCATCGTTATGAGTTCTAATGTAAATTTTTAGTAAGATTATTATTAATAAAACACTGGAAAAGGTGGTATTAACTGGCCTTTTTATTTATCATTAACATCTGAATCTTGAAGAGCTGTGTATCTGTACTCTAAATCAGAACATGCTTCTTTTTGAATTATTTTTTAGGTCTGGAATACAGGTTGTATCATAAACTACAGCTTCAGCTTTCCTTTATGTATTTCTTAGGAGCACAGTTGCATTAAGTATTTCTTTACAGTATGCTAACAAGATTTTAATGAGTCATCTGAAATATAAAACATGCCTTTCAGTAGCTCAAATGAAACAGTATTTGTACACCTTCCCAGTACTTAAAATACGATGTGATACTTCCTGTATGTTAACTGACCTGTACCACAAAAGAGGCATCCAACCTCAAAACGTATTCTTTCTTTCGTCTAAGTCTGAGCAGGTGTTTCTTGGAGCTGAAGGACAGTAAGAGAATAGTCCTGTTTTGTACACCCTGCTTTTCAAGAAAGTGAACTCAAATTTTGTGTCCCTGAGAATATCATGAGTTGTTTTTTGTAAGTGACAAATGAATTGAAATGTGACCATAAAATATGTTTTTCCAGGCCAGTTCTCAAGAATAAAGTGCATTCATGCTAAGAACTGACTTGATAGAAATACTTTTACATTTGTGACTCGTTAAATTCCTGCCTGAGTACACTAGATCTTATTTTGTCTTTGGGTCAAGAACCCAGGCCTCAGATATTTTTCAAGAAAGGATTTCAATCAATAAATACCACTTTTGAATTCTGTATTACTTAGTCCAAATTCTCCTCTTATGCCTTAAAGCTGACTGAAGTTCTGAAAAAATAAAGAATTAAGATTCAGTGTACTCTCAAACTCAGACATATGTTGTGATGGAGTAAAATAAGACCTTCACCTTCAGTACTCATTACTTACCTGATGTGGTTTGGCCAATATACCAGGGATAAAGGACTTCTGGGGGAATGGGAAGGTGGCAGGGGAAAGTAATGCATGCATATATGTGCAAATAAAGCATAAGGGAGAGCACAAGATTATTATGCCACCTGTTTTGTATTCTTCCAATCCCTTTTTTCTCTGGCTTCTGCAAGTCCATCAGATGGTTCTGAAATTGGTTCAGAACTCATATCTCACTTTTAATCTTCACAGCTGTATTTCAGAAGTAACAATCTTCAGTCCTACTAGTACATGAGCTGAAAAACAGAGCCATGTGTAGCATGAGAATATTCAAGAGTCAGGTTAATTGCACTCTGCTTTTATCTAGAAAGGTTGTAAATGAGGATTCAAAATTTTAAGGCTGTTTTTAGAAACAATCTATAAATTGTTCTACATTAATTTATTCTATTCAAGTAATGTGGCTCATAGCTGAAAATAATTGGTAATTGTAATGAATGATTACTATTCAGTAGTTTTAAACTGCAATTATTCAAAGCTGTTACTTACTTTCTGGCTGGCCTTTCTTCTTTTATCAGTCCTTTGATACTGATACTTTTCCAGTTTCCTCTGGCTGCAAACTCGGTTTCGACTGTAATTTCCTGACCAAATATAGTACCCCTGCTTTGGTCCTAGAAGGATGTGAAAAATGCACCCATCTTATCTAAATCAATACTACTATGGGGAAAGATGAAAAAACAAAGTAGGCTGTAAGAAGAAAGAAAAATAAGATTACATGACAGGTGCTTGAACATCAGCTTTCCTTCACTGCCAAAGATGAGAAAAAATGAGAAATCTTGTAACCACAGACACAGAAATCCCCAGAACTTCTGTTGGCAAGATTAAGGATGATGAATAGCTTCAGATTTTTCAGACTAATAATGTCACAGTTTACAACTTTCCGTCAGTTTTCCACATGCAACCACAATAGCTAAGAACTACAGTAAAAAAAAAAAAGTCAACCTAGGGGGATACAAAACTCTGTAACAAGGGACAGCTTTCACAACGTCTGGCTGTGATCATTAGCAAAACTAGAGACTGATTTTTTCTGGTAGGACATACAAAGATTAAGGGGAGAGGAGATGCTCCTTCTCACCCCTTTGACTGCAATCAAAAATATTTGAGTCAATCAATATGACATGAAAAAAAAGCCAACAAACATGATTATCATTTCTGTGAGCACAGGCAGCAGAGGTTGCCATTCTGATGGGAAGCCCAAGCCTTTCCAACAGGTACAAACTAGGTGTTGGCTTCCCAGTCAGTATCACTCAGGAAGGGAAGCAGCCCAGTTCTCAACTGCCTTTTACTAGGAAAGCTTTACCTCTAGACCATACAATGTGAAACCTGAGGAGACACAGATGGAGAGACTGTCAATGTAACAGAAGTGACTCTCAAGAACTGGTATGCTAAGGGCAGGAGAAAGCTACTTTATAGTTTAGATTCTAATAATAAATGAAAGCTCGGGTGAAGGAAAAACACTCCCTCACCCCAAAGAAGTCAGAAGACAGGAGAAAGAGGGACAAGGGCGATCATGGGGCAACACTGTGTTACGGGGAAAACTCACATACGCAAGCAGAAACATTTTAAAGACCAACTAGGGCATAAATTAATTCTGTCATTAGCACCAAATAACACCCAATGTATACTCACTTTTCCAAATGATCTACTGTGAAGTCAGGCATAGTTAATTTTTTTTCTGCTGAAATTTTAAGCAACATGAACTTCTTTCCCCCACCTCCCAGCTTCACCAAGGTTAACAAAAATAGTTTGTGCCCTTCTGTGAATAATTTAAAAAAAAAATTAAACATGACTTAAGAGTGAATCTTTTTCATCTGTTCAGATATTAAATACTGGTTTTGCTTTCATAATGATCCAATGAGGTGAACAATTTCTTTGGACAGCTGACTTATGACCAACTAAAAGCACAGCAACATAAAACTACAGCTGAGATACGCTATGCCCTGAAGTAGAGTAGCTTCAGTGAAATTAACGGTTTGATTTTTAAGCCCTCATCAGCCATCCATTCAATTTTTGGCAACAGTGGCTACCATCCACCATGGAAGGTTCATGGGAAATGACATCTGCCTTAGCTACTTCATTGCAGACATCAGTGGCTCAGTTAACACTACTCACAACGGGACACACATTGGGCAGAAGCAACTGACACAGAGACACACACTTCCATTGTGCAGGCTGTAAGGATGAAACCATTTTAAGAGGGAAAGAACCATTTTGCATCACCCCAACTGTTAAATACTGGGCTTGCACAACTAGTAACACCGTGAGGTTAATTTGGATAGTTGAAGTATTCTTGAGATTGCCAACTATGCAGGAATGAGTGTAATTTCAGGTGAAGATACTACTAAACATGTTTGCAGACCAAAAAAGTCAAACTTGGATTTATGTTGTTTGTGTTAAGATACAAGACCGTAAACTTCAGTAAATACCCTGCTGACAAGATTGCAATCCACTTGATGATAGTCAACAACCTGAGCTAAAGCTTTACTGCTCTCCAGACAATATGATAAACAACCAAACAATACTTTTCAGACTTTGAGCTGCAACAGAAATATTATGAAATGTAGAATAATAATTAAAAAAATAAACAATTAAAAAAAATTTAATTTATAATCCTTCAAGATCCTAATCATACATGCACACCGATCTTTCAAAAAAATTTTCTGTAGTGTGATCAACAGCCACTGTTTTCAGCACTTCTGATTCTTTATACTAGTAGGAAGTAATACATCTATTAAGCAATGCGGTACAAGGTTTGTTTGTAAGCTCATAATACAATTCTAGAAAGATCACACCACTAATCTGTAAAATGTTTAATTTCAATGTAAAAAAGAATGGTAGTATTTGTTAAATTATTAAAAAAAAAAGTCAAATGCTGATGAAATGGAGATTAGGAAGTCTTTTGTTTAGATTAATTTTCAACAATTTTCAAGAGCTGTGAGGCTATAATTTAGAAAGTAGTTCCATCAACTAAAAGATTTCTGGCCGGTAGAGTCATGTCAGATACCAGTAGGTTTATGTAGGGTGTTTATTATTCCAGGAGTTAAATTTCCCCAAAAAGAGAGGATCTAACCAGCAGTTGCTTTTCCTCCTGGTAGTTTCTGATGTCAAGAGGGAAAATACTTTACACTGAGTAATCAGCTGCAGTCCAGTGGATTGTTTGGTTTTCTGGCATGAGTTATGACCTCAGTGTTAAATGTAACAGTGTAGAAAAGAATTGCTATCTACCAGTAACTGGAGTTAAGTTATAGCATAGATACGTATCTTCACCAGTGAGGTGTGTATGTCTCAAGCACTGACTGTATGCTCTTACTTCTTACACAGTGTTTATGTACTGTTCCCCTCATGCTCTTAAGCCAGAAAAAATTCTATCCACCATCAAGTCTAAGAATGCAATAGACTTTTAAATAAAAGGATGGAGATGGTATAGATGTACTTCAAATAACTTGGGATTTTATTCTCTGTGCTTATCCCTATTTACTCTTCAGCATGGGTAGCTCTTGAGCATACTCCTACTTGCCTAAAAGCAAGAATAAAAAAACATGTTCTGACTTTATGTAAGACCTCCTAAACAGACTCTGGACCAAAAAAATCACCATCTTCGTGTGTCTCTGTGTGTGTTTAACAGTGAAGGGTTTTTTTCTTAATTCTATGCAGACAAAAATAAAACCTCTCCATATACTTAGGCCACTATTTCTTGAAGAAGGTTCTGAAAAAGAACCAATCTGTTCATCTGTTGACTGAACAGAAATTTGGTGACAATTTTATATAAAAACGTGGGTGAACTCATCTCCTGGATCTTACCTACCCTGGCTGCTAATACGACAAACTGCAAAGTCAACCACCTGCTATCATTGTCATGGCACATGTTTCCAGTATTCCAAACAGCAACCCATACAAGAGTGTGAACAGCAGCTGCTGTCCCTGGGACAACAGGAAACACCCTAAACTTGAGAGGAAGTTGTACCTTTTGCCATAGAAAGGTACTGACTTGAAAAGGCACTTTTTTTAAAGTTAAGAAATAGATGACAGCACTTCAGTAGGTAGTCCAGAAAAGCCAGCATGAAACCTATCATAAAGAGAATAATTTCTGGGGACACAAGGCCATGAATCACCCCACTAGGTCCATCTACAAGAGAATTTCCTGGCAGGAATGGTAGCACCCTAAGGTGCTACCATTAGGACATGTCCCAAAGCTTGCACTCTAAGATGTAACAGCAGATGCCAGGAATATGGCTTCTGTTCTGGAAGCTCTCACCTAGATGTGGGAGAAGTATGAGGAACAAATTCACTAGCTGGACAAAGTCCAGAACCAGAACTGCCTTGCAAAGGTTGAGTGAAAATACTCATGAGATTAAACATACAGCAGGATTTAAAAAACTGCCTCAAACCATGGGATACATAGACACCCTTTACAGTGCTTTTAATCCTCTAAAAAGCATCCGCATGACCAGTAAGTACCAAGTCACAGGCAGTATTTTGAGACTATTTTTCGAATATTACTCAGAATATTTTTCAGTAATTTTAGCCATATCATATTAACCTTGCTGATACTAATTTTAGTTTTTCTTACACATCATTCTTATAGTACTCAATATTTTTTAAATCCATTAGGCCAATATGAAGTTCTTTGATTTTTTTCATTACTTTATACCAGAATAAATATTTTATCAAATAAGTATCTGCATATTCCATTTATATGAAACTGTGGTGGTTTAACCTTGGCTAAATTCCAGGTACCCACCAAGTCACTCAATCACTTTCTCCCTCTTTCCCCTTGTTTTCTCAACAGGGCAAAGAGTGGAAAGAAAATAAGATAGATCAACCCTTTGTGGGTAAAACAAAAGCAGATTTAATATAAGCAAAGCAAAGGTCCACATGTGGAAGCCAAAAAAAGAAAACAGATTTATTCTCTATTTCCCATGAAGGGGGCGATGTGGGGCCTTCACAGGAAGCAGGGCTCTGATATGCGTAGTGGTTGCCTCGGAGGACCAAGGGTGACCCCAACCCCTTCCTCCTTTCTCCCAGCTTTATCCTGAGCAGATGTCATATGGTCTGGAATATCCCTTTGGTCAGTTCGGGTCAGCTGTCCTGGCTGTGTCCCCTCCCAAGATCTTGCCCACCCCGTCCCACTGAGGGGGGAAATGTCAGAAAGAGCCTTGGTGCTGTGTAAGCCCTGCTCAGCAGTAGCCACAACACCAGGGTGCTACCAACACCCTGCCAGCTCCCAGCATAAAACACAGCACCGTGAGGACTGCTGTAGGGGAAAACCAATTCCAGCTCAGCCAGACCCAGTACAGTCTCCACCCCTTACATTCCATAACATTTACGTCATGCCCAGGTCCCACATAATATTCATTTATCCATTCCATGAGCTTTCTTCACTCCTCCAGATGTTCAGTGACTTCGCTCCCATCTGTCAAGATGGATGTTCAGGACAGGAGAAGTATGTTTAATTGTTGGACTCTAGCACCAGCTAGGTTTGGGTCGTCAATGCAC